ACAGAAGACACAAAACCACCAGTCCAGGAGAACAGAAGACAAAACCACCAGTCCAAAGGGACAGAAGACACAAATGTTCCTAAGATCTTCTGGAAAACTCTTAAATCTCTTGATGGCAGCACTCACTCATCTGACCTGCCACCACAATCATTTGTCGGCTCTGCTCCTGTGTCAGATAAGCATGAGATGCTAAATTGTTTCAACAAATATTTTTTGCCTCCAGTTCCTTGTTTAACACAGTTTATAAATCACCAACTTCACCAACAAGTCAAACCTCAGTAAACCATACATTCTCTGTTTCACCGTTCTCAGTGAAGTTACAAACTGTTAAAAGATCTGGATACTAGAAAACCTGCAGGCCCTGATGACCTTCCTCCTTACTTCTCAAGTCTAGCTGCACAAATTATAGCAGAACCCGTGTCATGCATTTTCAATCTGTCTATACATCGTAATACTGTCCCAGATGCTTGGAAAACAGCTGTTGTGCTGCCATTATTGAAGGGAGGAGACCCCACTGTACTGAACCATTATCAACCAATCTCCAAACTGAGTTTTAGCTAAGGTTTTAGAAAAACTGATAAATACTCAAGTCAAGAAGTATTTGGACTCAATATTGTATCTTCTCTCCAATCTGGCTTCAGGAAACAACACAGCACTATGTGTCACATGTCTGCTTCAACCTGCCATGCTCTGTTTGTCGTCATGCCATGGTTTATATTTTCAAGCTTCTGTAATGCCTATCGCCCGCCCTCAGCTCCTGTCTCCCTGCACCACGCCTCCTCTGTTCAGTCATCAACACTCATTAGTTCCACCTGCTCCACTCCCTTTTTAAGCTCAGCTCCACTCTCAGTGCCAGATTATTGAAAGCTCATGCCACAGTCTTGTTTTGTCTTCATGGTTTTGACCTCTAGCCTGCCTCACAGAGTCCTCGCCCTGCTCATTTCTTGTCTGTTTGGATCCTTTGATCTGCTTAAGGTAACAACCTCTGCTTTCCTCAACGGCCACGTCTTCTGGATCACAAATCAAGTTTTGCTTCAGCCCTCTGATCACCTGTGCATGACTCTCGCCTGTTTCCCTGGACCTGCCTTTTGGATCTCCCTCATTACTGCTCTGCAACAAAGCCGACTCACTTTCACCACTTATGACTTAACCCTTACCAACATCTTGAAGGGAACCCCTCCTCACTTGACGTTGAAGGTTGGTGAAAACCACCTGAATAACCTGAACATTCACAAAGAGCTCCCGATGATCATCTCTCCAATCTCCTCAGATTGTGTCGGCCCCAGGGCTGAGACCTCCACCAGAAGCAGTTTATGAATCTTTTAAACTTGCCTTGTGTCTGTGTTCTGGTTCACATTTCTAAACCCAATTCATGTCACTATGACTGCTTCGCTAAAGGTTTTTAATGATGATGATGATGATAAAGATTTGGATGCTAAGGATTACTGTGCTACACTTTACTTAGACCTGTCCAAAGCCTTTGATTCCGTAGAGCATGACATCTTATGCCACAAGCTCTCAGATACTGGCTGCTCAGATCACACTGTTGGCTGGTTCTCAAACAATCTCTGAGGTCGGAGGCAATGTGTTCTACATAACAGTACTTCAGCTAGCTACCTAACGGTCACCAATGGTGTGCCACAAGGCTCAGTTTTA